TGGAAATGTATGTTGAAGTATTTAAGGAAGAAGTATCTGGAAGTCTGCAAACTCTCAAAGGTTCAACTATACATATATGAATATATATGTATGGGATAATTATATTAATGATCTTATATGTTATATATATATTATATATACACTGCATATACAAAATTAGATAAATGCATAATTAGAGTGGCTTTGTACACAAATTGGCAAAATGTTAACTGGTGAAAATGGACCACATCTCTGATTTTTCAGTTGAAATTTTTCAAAAGAAAAAGTAATTCTACCAGGCGCGGTGGCTCAAGCCTGTAATCCCAGCACTTTGGGAGGCCGAGGTGGGTGGATCACAAGGTCAAGAGATCGAGACCATCCTGGTCAACATGGTGAAACCCCGTCTCTACTAAAAATACAAAACATTAGCTGGGCATGGTGGCGCGTGCCTATAATCCCAGCTACTCAGGAGGCTGAGGCAGGAGAATTGCCTGAACCCAGGAGGCAGAGGTTGCGGTGAGCCGAGATCGCGCCATTGCACTCCAACCTGGGTAACAAGAGCAAAACTCCGTTACAAAAAAAGAAAAGAAAAAAGAAAAAGTAATTCTAGCCCTCAGCCAGAGCTAGGAAACTTCCAGTCAGCCAAAGCTCCCTGCTGGCCAGAAGAGCCTCTCTCCCCTCTCCCCTCCAGGCTCCTCCCTCCCTGTTCCTTGGGCCAGCTCCTCTCCTCTGAAACAAAGGAAAGGTCCAGCTAATTGGATTTGCCTTTTAAAGACGACATGCTGGTCAGCCACGGTGGCTCCAGCCTGTAATCCCAGCACTTTGGGAGGCTGAGGCAGGTGGATCATGAGGTCAGAAGTTCGAGACCAGCCTGGCCAACACAGTGAAATCCCATCTCTACTAAAAATACAAAAATTAGCTAGGCGTGGTGGCGCATGCCTGTAATCCCAGCTACTTGGGAGGCTGAGGCAGGAGAATTGCTTGAACCCGGGAGGTGGAGGTTGCAGTGAGCCGAGATGGTGCCACTGCATCCACTCCTGCCTGGGCAACAGAGCCAGACTCCATTTCAAAAAAACAAACAAAAAAAAGACGACGTGCCCACCATTAGGGAGAGAGGAGAAGAGAGAAAAGTACAAGAGACTCACGTTCTAGGCCTGGCTTTGTCCTCATGACCTGTGGGTGAGCTCAAGCCAGCCACGCACAGAGCTGAGGACCCCTCCCTGGTCCTTCCGGGTCTCCCTCTCTCTAACTCTTGGCCCCTTAGTTAGAATAAAAAGTTCCCTTAGAGAAAACAAATCAGCTTATTTTATTCAACAGTTCAGTAAGAAAGGAAATGAAATGCTCTTTTTTTCTGGGATACACACAGAAAGATCACACCGAAACCCAAGACAGCAAAGGCCCACGCGCTTGCCCCTCCCGGCCTCCCACCGGCTGCTCACCCATCCTGGGGCTCTGGGCTCTCCCGAAGCACACAACAGGCTTGCTGTGTCCCCATCTTGGCTGAGAAGCACTTGCCAGATCACCTGGCCTGGTCACAACCTCCCCTGTCACCTCTACTCTCCCTACCTCAAAGAATGCCCTGAAGAACTGGACCTCACCATCCCAGGAGACCCAGCACTGCGCTGTCACCGTCAGAGCCTGAAGGCCCTGGGACATTGCCTCTGTGTCTCACATCACTGGGGCGTGTCTCTCCTTTTGCAGTCCAGGGCTTCTGGGGTTAATGGAGGTCCATCCAGTCCTGGGTGCTAAAGAGCCTGGGGTTTAAATCCCATTAACAAATCCCCTTGCTTCAGGGTTGGGATGGAAGCAGGGAGCTGCTGCCAGGTTCCACGGGGGCCAAAGGAAAGAAGAAATAATAACAAGGCAGTCAGACCGCCTTACACCCGCTTTATCACTGCTCATTTTGTCACCTCATTAGACACAGGGCTGGGAAAACACTCGCTCCCATTTAAAAGCGCGTTGTTGACATTCAATGAACGGGCATTCATCTTCCCAGTCACCCAGAGCGACCAAAAGTCAGGCTGTAGGAAACAGCTCCTGCAGAGACGGTGCCACAGAACAACATTTCTGAACGTGGACCAAAGTCAGCATGGTGAGCTCCACCTGGAAATTCGGGGGCTGTGTTGGCCGACGGTGGAGCCGTGCTCACCCTAGAAGAGCAATTTGCCTCTCTGCTCAGGGAAGATCATTGATGCCAGGTTTCCGTGACAGGCTAGCTTCATCTGTTTTCCACCTGGGTCCCTCCTAGAAAGATGGCAGTTTTCCTTCCTTGGAGTGTCATTTGCCCAGGTAAGCCCAGAAACGAAGCCCCTGTAAGAGCAGGGAAGTCTGCCTCCCTTGCCCCAAGTGCGGAGAAACAGGCGCTTTTATGAGATGTTTTGCTTCATGCCCAGATCTGCTCCATGGAACACCACAAACCTCAGGGGAGTAGAGGCGGCTGTCCGTAGCCCAGGGACTGGACAGGGAAATCGGTGCAGCCCAAATTTGGGCTGCCTGGGGGCCATTTCTACCGCACCACGCCCAGGGCATCTTGTAAAGAACATTTGGGCAGCTGGGGAGTGGGGTTATTGGGCCCCTGTTGGTTGGGTGGGGTTAATCTGCAGGCTTAATTTACATGTGTGCAAAGCTTCCAGAGTGTGCAAAGCCTCTGCCTTAGAGTAAAACCCGAGGGGACCCCCAGGAGACCCTGCTTTGAAGGCAATATCTGGGTAGAGAGTACCAGCTCTCAGGCGTTTTTGCACCATCATTTCAACTCCTGCTTTCTTAAAGCGGAGAGGTTAGGGTCACAGTTGCAGGGTGCATTGGAGGGGACGCGGACATCGTGTTAGGCAGGCCTCCCCACAGCCCCTTATTTAGAGCTGACGACCGTGAGGAGCTGACGTGTTATGGGAATAACTAAGGTATTAGGTTACCTTCTCAACAACAACCAAAAATGACTGTATAATTTTTGCTGTGGCTGTCTGGACATCTCTAGAAAAAGTCAAGTCATGACCATATCCTGTTGATTCATGAAGCCAAATTAAAATTAAGCTTCTTCAGGAAGCCCTGGCTTCTATGTTCTCTCCAGTCTTACCACTCATTCACAAGTAGGAAGGAGAGGCCCTGCCACATATTGGCTTAATTTCTGGAGTTACCTGTGTTTCTCTTTGGCAGGGGACATCCAGCGTGTCTGGGAAGCAAACCTGCTATAGGAAAGAGCCTGCTCCAGACTCCTACGCCCCCCTCCAGCCCAGCATCCCCATTCCTCAGGCACCTCACCCATTTGCAACACTCTTCAACATGCCTCTCCAAATTTCATCAAAATGCTCAGACGACTCTACACATTCCCCAAGAGGAATTTCTGAGATCTTTCGGATTCCATTAAAACATCAACATTATTCCCTCTACCCCACTCCTAGTATATATATTTCTTAAACAACGAGATTGAAAACAAATGGATTTGATTATCTGTGCTGGTGGTTACACCTCTGAAAAGTCTTAGATGGATCACCAGAATGTTGAGAGGACTTTTGATTAATTGTGAAGCAGTTTCAATCTGTTCTATAGTGGGAAAAGAAAGAAAAAGAAGAAAGAAGAAAGAAAGAAAGAAAGAAAGAAAGAAAGAAAGAAAGAAAGAGAGAGAGAGAGAGAGAGAGAGAAAGAAAGAAAGAAAGAAAGAAAAAGAAAGAAAGAAAGAAAGAAAGAAAGAAAGAAAGAAAGAAAGAAAGAAAGAAAGAAAGAAAAGAAAGAAAGAAGAAAGAAAAGAGAAAAACCCATGCCCCAAATGGCTTGCTCAGTTTGCACAAACCTAGTAAGAACCTGCCTCTCACCCATGCTGGAAAGGTCACCGCCACCCCAGAGTGTGAGGCAGGAAAACCCAAACCTTCGGATCTCAATGGCTTCACACAGAAGCAAATCACGGGACAGAGTCAAAGCTGTGTGCTCCCTGTGCTCCTAAAAACCCAACACTGACGCTGCCCACAGTTCTCTGTTTCATTAAACACAAGTCCCAATGTCGCCTTCTTAAGACAGTTTTCCTATGTCACTGAAAGCAAAACACATTAAATATTTGATCTCATCTTCCTATGATGAGAGTTAGCTAGCAGGCTCATAAATAATCCATTGACCTGGTTCACTTTTCTGGACAAAATTGATTGTAAAAATACATACACAAAGCCTTTGTAATGTCTGATTCAGAAATTCTACCCCTCTTCAAATTCTTTAGAGTCCCAAATGGAAAAGGAACAATTCAACATGGAAAAGCCCCAGTTCAAAAGAAAATTTGCTCCTTAGCCCAAGACCCAAATCCAGTCTTGAGCTCCAGAGAGTTTTTTTTTTGTTCAAAAATAAATCTGAATGTACACAATTTTCAAGCAAATGATGATTATACCATTCAACCACGTAGCACAGTCGCTGGAGTTGGAGTTTCACATAAATTCTGAATGGCCCGCGAGGTGTCTGAGCGCTCCTCTGCTCTGACAGTTAAGCCGCCCAAGCCACGGAGACTCAGCCCACTTAAGCGCCACTCTGATTTCTCTAGCTATCTGGGCATTTGTGTCAACCAGAGCCCTCCCTTTGCATAAAGCCACCAGCACTTGATGACAGCAAAGTAAAGATCAAACATAAACCATGGGTTGAAACGAAAGCAACTCCTCCCAAAGTACAGGACAGCATTTTGCTCAAGATCCTGTTTAAGGGGTCTTTCGCGGGTCCTCAAGAGGTTGCAAAGCCCCTGTAACAATAGACAAAGGACCCCCCACGCCCGCCTCCCAAGGCCCCCTCGTGCACTCCACGCTCCTCGTCCCTTCCACGCTCCTTGTCCCCCGCCCCACCCTGGCCCGTCCCCTTCAGCTCTGGTTCTTGCGGAGCGTGGAGGGCGCAGGGGTAGGATCCGGCGCCCACCGCTGGGACGCATGCCGGTCCTCGCCTCCTCGCCTCCTCGCCGGACCGTGGGGCGCAGCGGCTCTCTTTCCCTTTCCCAAGACAGGGAAGAAGTTCTGGAAGAAGCGTGGGTTCGAGGCGGAGAGGAAAAGCTGACCCACCTGCCGGACTGCCGGGCGGAGGCTGGTCCCGGGCTGGGGAGGTGGTCGGGCCTCGCGCCCTCGAGGCACCGGGAGGCGCTGGCTGTGCGGAGGGGCGCCGGCGCGGCTGTATTTGTACCCGCGGCCCCTCACATGGTCCGATCTCTAGATAGCCGCCGCCAAAGAGCTCTTGAAGAATTTTTGCGTCACTTTGAGGCGAATAAACTTAATGCTTCCCTGCGGCCGCGGCTCGGCGCTCCCGCTGGATGGGGGTGCGCTCGCCCGGGAGGGGCCGAGCTGCGGGGCGGGGTGCGCGCCCGATCCCAGCGCGGGGAGGGGAGGGACCCCCGATACCCACAAGCTCTCAGGGAGGAGCGGAGCGCGGAGCATTCGGAAGGGCAGGGCCAGTGAGGAATCCTGACTTTCCTGCTCTTTAACTTTGAGGGAAGGGGGAGGCTGTAAAAAGGGGCGGGTATGCTCCTCCCCTGCCGGCACCCCTCCTGGACCGCTTGTAGGGTTCTGCTTGTGGCGCTTCCTCCCAGCCATCTCTCTTGACCCCCGACACCTCCCCATCGTCCCCATCCCGAAACCTGCTCTCTTTTTCTTCCTGGGACGTAACAACACGTGGTACCCACGGGTTTCTCTGACTGCCCCGCTGGGATGTGAGCTCGGCGTAGAGGCCCTTGTCTAATTCCTCTCCGTCCCCAGAGCCTCACAATAAAGACTTACAGAATGAAGGAATGAAGAACTGGTTCTCATTTTTTAACCAGCTACATTTCAAAACAGCGTCAAAACAGAGCACAGTGCTTTGGGAGGCTGAGGTGAGAGGATCGCTTGAGCCCAGGAGTTCAAGACCAGCCTGGGCAACACAGGCTCTAGATTTTTAAAAAATCCTATCTCTAGATTTTTTTTTTGATTAGCCAGGTGTGGTTGCCTGCGCTGTAGTCCCAGCTACTACTCAGGAGGCTGAGGTGGGAGGATCAGCTGAGCCCAGGAGGTCGAGGTTGCAGTGAGCCATGGCACTCCAGCCTGAGTGACAGTTTGAATTATCTGAAAGGGCCCAAGAGGAGCCTACTGTTTTGAACCAAGTGCATGTTGTTTTGATACTTTTTTCAAAAAGTTTAAAAATTGATTTAATGTTAATATCCTTTTTGCTAAAATTACTTAAAACTTTTGAGCACATGCAGTACTTGCTTTGGGTTGTCCCTGAGGCAGAGAGGGCTCTACCTCTCCCCAAGAGGAGGCCAAGGGAAGTAGAAGACAGAAAGGAAAAAGCAATGACAAGTCTGCAGCTCCAGAGAAGCCACAGCCCCTTGTACTCAAAGGAACTGGCCCTTGAAAACTGTGCAGCCGGTTGGGCTGAGCATCTAGAGGGACGGAGCTGGACAACCATGGGCAGGCGAGGGCGGCTCCCAGCGGGAGGAGTCAGCACGGGATTCTGGTGCCACCTAGACTCCAGGGCGGGGACCGCAAGGTGGGCGGGAGGCTTGGAGCCCGGGATGCAGTGGGATACAGGGAGGGTGCGAGGGGCATGCTGGAGGGGTACGGGGGGGGGATGCCAAGGGTGCAGTGGGGATATGGGAGGGTGCAGGCGGATGTTGAGAGGGTGCAGGGGGATGCTGGGAGAGGTATAGGGGAGATTCTGGGGGTACAAGGGGAATGCTGGAGGGGGCAGAGGCGATGTCTAGGGGCAGGGGAGATGCTGGAGGGGTGCAGGGGGATGCTGGGAGGGGTTCTGGGGAGAGGGAGGATGCTGGGAGGGTGCAGGGGGGATGCTAGAAGGGGTGTAGGGGGAGGGGGATGCTGGGAGGGGCGCAGGGGGCATGCTGGGAGGGTGCAGCAGGGACGTTAGGAGGGTGCAGGGGGAATGCTGGGAGGGTGCAGGGCAGATGCTGGGAGGGTGCAGGGGTGATGCTGGGAGGGTGCAGGGGGGACGAAGGGAGGAGTTCAGGGGGGACGAAGGGAGGGTGCAGGGGGGACGAAGGGAGGAGTTCAGCGGGGACGTTAGAAGGGTGCAGGGGGGATGCTGGGAGGGTGCAGGGGGGACGAAGGGAGGAGTGCAGTGGGGACATTAGGAGGGTTACGTGCTGGCGTTCAGAGCAGCAATGCCTAGCGGGGGATCCCCAACAGACTTGGGAATTTCATTCTGGGGGCAGCGCCTGCATGGGGGCGAGGGCTCCTCCTTTCAGATGAACACAGTTGTCTGCTGCCTCCAATGTTCCACTTCTTAAATGAACATGTTTGTGCTATACAGGCAAAGGCAACAAAAAACGCAAGGTGCCCTTTCCAGGAGGGCAGAGGAGGGGAGCAGGGGCGCTGGGCAGAGGCGTCAAAGTGGAGGATGGCAGCTGGGGTGACTTCAGTGCTTGGCCACCAAGGCCCTTGTCTCCACCCGGTCTGTCCAGTGTGACTTCTTAACACTTCCTAACTGTGCAGTCTCGTGAACGTGACCTCACCACTCCTGGCCTTTCTTCTAGACTCTTTCTAGCTGAACATCCATTCCTGCCCAGCACCCGGCCCCTCCCTATGGCACTGCCTGCCCCAGGCTGGGCGCTGCCTACAGAGCGGGCCCCCTGTGGACCTGGGTCAAACCCTGGCTCCCACCCTGTCCTGTCGTGTGGGCTTGGCCGAGCTCCTTAACCTCAAGCTGTCTGGCCTTTGTGTCTCTGTCTGTGAAGTAGGGAGGATGCTCTCAGTGGGCACTGCTCAGCTGTGGGTGGTGAAGGGGCCAACTCCTTGCAGGTCCTTCCGCCAAGGGGAGATCCAACCCCTCCTCTCTCTGGCCGGGTGGTTCCATCTCCTCCCCTCTTGACACCATTAGCAAGAGACATTAGAATGACACAGACGGCCTCCCTCTGCTTGCCCCAGCCCCCCTCCCCACACCACACCCCTGCCCCTGCCTCCCTGGCAGAGTCGGAACACAACTGGTCCAGACTGTCCCCCTCTCTCTAAAGAGATGTTTCTCTTCCTCCTGCCCTGAGCACCATCCCACAGAGAGGACAGGTCCACCTGCAGGTCCTCACCTCCACAGAACCAGCCCCTCTTCCCCCACCTCCAGCAGCCCCGCTCTGTCCTGCTTCTGATACTCTTCGCCTCCAGTGCCCTGTCCTTCCCTGGCCTCCCACTCCCTCCCTCGGAGGATCCTCTGACCCTGCACCCTGTTCCCCTGCCTGGGCCTGGGGGTCACTCGACTGCCCCTCCCCGCCTCCAGTTCAGGTGGACAGGCTTCAGTGTCCACCACCAGGAAAGAGCAGCCCCGTACCCACGCCTGCCCTCCCTCTGGGCCGCTCCTTTGTGACATGAGCCTGACCGCATAAGAAGGCACAGCCTCTGCCCCAGAGACCTGGGGAGGCCGGGAGGCGCTGTCCAGGCATGGAAGGCAGGAGGGAGCCCTGGGCACAGCAGGAGGGAAGCAGAGTTTAGGAGTGGGGAGGGGGAGAGGATCTAAAGGCTGTGACCAGGGTGGGCTGCAGGTAACAGTGGGGGAGTGTCGGTGGTTGGGGACTGACAGTTCCTTAGAATGTGAATGCATTCACATTCAGCGGGTGGCCACAGGGAAGGGAGGCAAGCTGGAAACCCGGCGGGCACCCGCAAAGCTTGGCGCTGGTGGTGTATGGGGACAGCCATGGAGACGTCAAGAGCAACAGGTCCTCGGCAGCTGGGAAGAGGCTGCCAAGGAATCACCGCACAGCAATCCTTTTTCTTTGTTCACCTGCTTGAGCCCAGAAATAGTGGGGCTTAGAACCTGCTCTGGGGCTCAGAATAAACACAGGCTTTCACTTTGAGAGGTAAGGAGCATGTAAATATTTACACCTGCCCCAAACACCACCCAGAAGACCCACTTCCGGGAAGTCTCAAAGGCCAGCAGTGAGTCCCCTGTGGAGCCAGCCAGGACAAGCCATGCGAATCCCAGGCGAATCCCAGGCTCTCCCTCCGGAAGCCCTTGGTGCCATCTGTCTGTCCGGCCTCTGCCCTGTTTATACAATACGGAAGAAAGAGGCCCACCCCTCCTTGTGGGCTTTTTCTCAGGCCCAGGAGAATGCTGAGAGTATTCAGTCCTTAGAGTGTCGTCTTGCTCCATCCCCAGCAGCACTTCCCGGACACCGCCGGTTTGTCCTGGGACCTGGCAAGGTTTCGGTGACTCTGTGTTCATGTTCAGTGGCACCTCCAAGGCAGGATTTGCTGCCACCATGGACCATCGATATCAGTTTCGGTTGCTACCCTTGCTTACTTCATTGTGTATTCAGACTTCATGGATTATTTTTTCTAAAAGAGGAGGAAAGGTGGGAGTGGCTGATATGGAAAGGCCCAGTTTGAAGGATACTCACACATGAGGAGAAATCAGGGTGTATGGGACACCCCAGACTTTACAGATATTGTGACTACCCCACGCTCTATCTGCAATCTCTGTGAGCCAGGGTTTATGATTTCTCCTTGCTCCCTAGGGGACTCCCTTCCCTGACTCCATCAGCCAGGGCCATGCTCTGGAGGGCACCCTTCCACCTTGGTGGAGATGTTGATGCCAGAAGCACAGATAACCAGCGAGGGCCCCATGGCTCTGGACACACACAGAGCTGTTGGAGCACATTTGTCCCTCTCTGAATTTCCCAGGCTCTGGGTTCCCAAGGGACAGGGTGCTGCCTCTCTCCACGCCTCAACACCTACCACTGTGTGGGCAAACGGCAGACTCCATAAATGTACACACGAGCAATGAACGGCTAGGAAAATGCCTCTGAGTCTTACCAGACTTAGTGCCGTAACACCAGGGCCCCAGTGGCGTATCCACCAATGGAGTACCACGCAGCAGGTAAAAAGAGTAAGTCAGTTGTCTATCGGCTGATCTGGGCAAGTTCTCAAGATTTATTGCAAATGGAGGCAAGATGCACAGAACAGGTGCTTCTCCAATGTGTTGAGGGCAAGGTGCAGGGACTGATATGTGTATGGAAATCTGTGAGTACACACAAGAGGCTGGGAACAGTAGGTACCTTGCAGGGAGAGGACACTAGGGTGGAAGGCAAACCACTTTGTCACTGTGTAGCCTGCTAGCCTGCTATACTATTCAGACATTTGCCATGTCCCGGTGGTATTTTTATGAAACTTTTTCAGAAAAGCATTTAATTATAAAAGGCAAAGAAAGAAAGGGGTAAGGGTGGGAGGGAGGGAAAATAAAAGAGAGGGGAAGGAAAAAAATGTTCTAAGGGGCCTCAAGCTTCTCACAAAGGAGGGAGGAGCCTTAGGGAGTTGGAAGGAGCTCAGCTCCGTGTTACGACAGATGCGCTACCTCCCCAAATGCGGCCACATCACACATCACCATTGCTGTTCACTTAAGGAGGACATTTTACTTTCTTGTTTATTCGGAAGGATGCTGTGAGGCAAGAGGTGAAGTCCAACGCTCTGCTCAGGGTCTGAT